CTGCGTCCGCGACTGGAGCGCCTGGGCAGCCCGAACGACTGTGTGGCGTACGCTGCGGGTCCTGGGGGTGTCATCCAAGAATTCTGCTGGACTGCATTTCCCTGCTCACGGGGAGGACACATGGGGAAAACTGGGTCCTCAAAGGAGCCCAACCCGCTTCCCCACCTCTGGTTCGCTGCATACCGCACATCGCCGCTCAGCTCCCGCAAGACCATGGGCGTCACCCACTTGGACTCATCGACACCGCGGCAGCAACAGCAGCATATGATAATTGTCAGTGCAAGAGCCGCAATAAGCGGCAGCACCACGGCAAGAATAAGGACATACCAGTGCTTCTGTACCCACGGGACCACCACCTCCTGCGGCGGCAACGTAGTTGTGTTGGTTGGCGGCCGCGTCGTAGTGGGGGTTGGCGGCCGCGTCGTAGTGGGGGTTGGCGGCCGCGTCGTAGTGGGAGTTGGCGGCCGCGTCGTGGTTGGCGTGATCGCACCCTGCACCTCACAGACAATCCCGAACAGTACAGCGGCCCTTACAGGAGTGAGGTGTGGATTGTTTGCTGCGTCGTACCAAGTTATCGTTTCCGCAGGCACCTTCACAAGTAGACGCGATATCACATACGGTTGGCCGTAATAAGGGTTAATAGCGGCCCAGCGAGGCGTGTACCCGTTCATCGGGCCGTTGCCCGGAACGTTAAACCGTGAGCCCCATGTAAAACGAAGCACCACCGCCCTTGACCTGCGGGTCGGCGAAGGCGCCCTGATTCCACTGGTAGACGCAGCCCAAGGACGCCGTTGGAATTCCTGGCGTACAGCGTTGCGTGTTCACGCTGTACTCCGCGTCGCCGCCCATGAACGTAAACATAAGCGCATCCAAAGGACGTCCTGTCGGCCGCAAATAGTCCGTGATGTACTGATGCGCAGCAGGTGTTTGATCCGCAGAGAGGTAGCCTCCGTTGCGGGCGCAGGCCAAAGCGGACTTGGCGTAGGACACTTCGCCTCCGTATTTATTAAACTCCGAGTTGGGGAAGCTGAAGTACCTCTTGATTTTAACGATCACGTGCCCATCTTCCAGAGCGGCGGCGAAGGAGGGGTGGCCGCCCAGGCACTGCAGCAGCAGCAGCAGCAGCGCCACCCACCGGACGACAGTCCCCGTCGCGGAGCGCGCCCGCATGCCCACTTCGGCGGCCATAATATACTCGCTGTGCGGAGCCGTGTGTGTTCGTGTGTGTGTGTGAGAGAGAGAGTGTGTGTGTCGACCGTCTATTCCCGCTCGGCAGAGACAGCGTGAAGGAAAAGGCGGCGCAGTGGCGTGACGGGGTGCCTCGGGAGGCGGAAAAACGTCACCTTGAGGTATCAAGCGGCTTGCCGTACTCCGGCAAAACGAGGTGTGGGGGAAAAACAGTCCCGGCGGCCT